TAACCGGAAAGCGCGATACTGTAACACGTTCCCTACGGTGTAAATGTATCGCTTTCATGTATCTAAATTTATCAATCAATGTTTGAATATTTATTCCAGCAGTATTTCATTTTCATAGTTGTAAACATCATATATGTCAAAATCCTTTTTATATCTAAAGATATGTAAAACAAATTGTACCTGCAGATATACAAAACATATTTTGACACAGATATTTAGAAATATACTATCACAAAACATTTTTTTCACATATATTTAGAAATATTTTATTACTACAGATGTTCAAAAACATAGTGTTCTTTTTTAACTTTCTAAAAACATTTTGCTTTACATATATTCTAAATAGATTAATGTAACTGATTTTCGTGAAAAAACGTCTTTTCTCCTTTGGTTTGTTTTAAGAGTACATTTTGAGATCAATGATTTGTTTCCATCTCATGTATTTGATTAGAGATTATACAGACGTAATTTTCAGTTGAATGTTGTATATTTCAACTGAAAATGACGTTTGACCTTTCACATCATCTATCCGGACTGATCGAAATACATTTATAATACTGGCACGTTTGTAACGTCATTTTTCATTGGATAATCTTGACGTTTAATAGTTGTATTTTCTGATCGAAGATCAGAAAATACAAAGCTAACATTCAATCTCTTACTCAGCGGTTTCACGACAAACCTAACAACAAGTAGTTCTTTAAACAGGTTAAACCTAGCGATTTAAAAGAAATAGTTTTATTTTGTTACAAGTATCCAACAAATTACAACGCATTCAAAGTTTAAAAGTAACTTCGAGTTATAAAATTGTCAATAAATGTACATTCACAAATTACGCGGATGGATATGATTTTAATCAATGAAAATGCTATTTTAGCGATGTTGATTACCGAATACTACACAAATAAATCTGACTGTCGAGTAGTGGAATATATACATGTCGGACTGTTTTGGCGAGGAGATTTTTGCTAAATTATTTACACCAATGTTAAACAACAGGTTTATCGTGAACAAAATACCTTGAAATTGATAAGGATTACAAACCCGAAATGCAATGGAAATTCTTAATTTAGTATTACTTGATTTTATTCAGGCCCTTCGTATAACTTCTCCGTGGTGCAGGGGTAACGCGCTCGTTTAGAGTGTCAGAGGTCTGAGGTTCTAATCCCATTTAAGGCAACTATTTTTTTTTAAAGTTTCTTTGTTAAGGAAGTAGCCACGTTATGCTAGGATAAAGTGTGGCTGTCATACAAATGAACATAAATTTTTGATGCAACTCTAGTCATGCAAAATTCCGTATGTGTCAAACTCTGGTGCTCTGCAAGAAGAATTATAGTACATAAAAATAAACTTATACAGGAAAATGATACAGATATACAGTGCGATTTAGATTGCAAAGATCAGAAAATACCACAGAGCTTGCAGCCCTTTGATTTATGGCCATGTTCCTAACAATTTTATTCAAACACTATTTGTTTATCGATGATTCAGTTAAGGAATACATCCTTTAGTAATATTTTTTTTTTAATTTTATTTTAATGTGAATTTCAGCTAAAATATGATTTCTTTGTATTTACTGTAGTCAATTCAATTTTTATAATAGCACTTCTGAGCATGTTTCAAATTGTTATTACATCTTATAACTCATAAACATTAGTTTATATTTGCCGTAAATGCTGGACCGGAATATACCTTCTGCAGGACGGATCACGAACCTTGCCATAAAGCTGTTGCTGTTTTGCCATGAAGCAGTTGATGTAGCTGATTATGGAAACGTGTCACTGGACCATATACATGTATGTTGTACATTTCTTAAAAATGACCAGTCCATCCTGTCGTCTGCCGTAACATTGGTTGCTGATGCTGATTACCCGTTAGAAACAGGGTAGTAACACCAATGTATTCATTATTTTTTTTAAATACGTGAAGATGTTTCGACGAATGGGAAAGAAGTATGCATTGCAAATGGTTTCTAGTGAAAAAAGATAAAATAAAAAAAGTATAGCATAATGCACAGAGTACCGGAAGGAATCCATTATCTTACATGTTTGGAAAATCTTACACAAATCGAATTTTTGTTCTCGTATCAAAGTATACATCAATCATTGAAATATATTATTGAAAGTCGAAAGTTACAAAATTAATTAAATAAGTGTATCGGAATATCTTTTTCCTAACATTTATCCGAAATTAAACCTCCTGTATAAATTCAAGTCAAAATAGAATTTTCTAGTTTTTTATTTGCAAGTCGCTGTGCTTTAGATAACACCTACTAGCCTCCCGATACCACTTTGGCTTTAATGGTACTTAAAAAGTCCCTTTGATGATAAAACTTCACTATCATCCTGAAATAGAAGCAGTCATGCACTGTTATCTGTCTTTATGTGAATGACTTTTTTATGTAAACCGATGGTATCACTCTAGTGGAGCAGGAAAAGAAAGTATCAAACAAATTTTGGTGAAAATTTTAGTTTGGTTTAAATCTCATCTTATATCACAGGAACCTTCCAACTTTAATAAAAGTCACGTACCTTTCTGGAGATAGGTGGAAAGCTCCCTGGAATAAAATAATCATGTTATGAAGGTAGCTAATGAATGGTCGGTCAGTGGCCATATCCATTCCTTAAATAATACTATGAGATAAACCTTAAGTATATATCTGGTTGGTTGACAAAAGAATAATAATAACCTGCCTATTTTTCAAACATTATCCTGTGTTTGGTTGTTGTATGTTTCATCTTTATATCCCAGGCGTAGTTGATGTGAATTCCATCGTTAATCCAGCAGTAGAAACACTTCCCCTGTTAAACCATTATCAACTGAGAGACAACAGTTTCTTAAGAAGTTCTACCACGAGACTTATATGTAAACAAACCCAAAACACGTAAGTATCATAAATGTTGCCGCTTTTGGCCTTTTTAAGGGATTCCATCTGGTGGGGTTTTTTATCTTAAAAATACATTGAAGGTTGGTTGCATTTTAAACAAGCATTTACGTGATGATAAAAGTAAAAAAAATGTTTAATGATATCTTCTTTCAATATATAAATTCAGAAACCCATATAAGGAGCTTGGGTTAATCATATTCGATAACAAACTATATTTTAACCACCAATGAAATCGTTTTTTAAGTAAAAAATGTCGACTTTTAAATTGGTTTCAAAATAACTTAAAACGACATAATCAGACCACCTTCGACGAAGTTCAATTGTTCAATTGGAAAACTGGAATATCATCAAACAAAAACAATACTTTTGAGTGTTACGTTCTCAATGACAAGCTATAAATTAATATAAATAATGTATTATAATAGTAAATACATATGTTACTATAATATATCTACATTGTAATTAGAATATTTAGGGTATTGTTAGGACATTATGGCAAGACTTAGGTCTTTATGCAATTTCGGGCTCATTGCTGCTCGGCATTAGTTTTCCTAAATTTGCGAGTATATTAGCGCACGTGAAAACGACTCCCAGTGACTTTCGAGATTGTTTCTGTTGTTGAAAGAACTGAAGTAACTTGCACACACAATTTTAGGTTTAAGACAGCAACAAAAATTTAAAAAAAATAGTGTAGATTTAGAGCTCAATCTCCAAATAGAAGACAATGTGCAACAAGGAAGTACTTGAACCGTCAGCAAGAAGGCACATTTAGTCTTTAAGTACAGCTAGATACTTTAAAGCACAAAGCTTCAAAAGAAAAACAGGCACTTAACGTTATTCTCACACACACAGAACAATTATCAATATGAACAATATTAAAACTTTATTTTGTGTTATCCTTTTTTTAAAAGATAAGCGAAGGTTTCTTGCTAATTTGGATATTACTCCGATTGTCGGTACAGACTTGAATATCTATGATAACAGTTTACAACGGTAACGAGGCTCTGTCGAGATTCCGCTTAACAGTTACCCGATAGCTAGATATTCCCGTCTGTTACGACAGCTGGCGTTCTTGCATATTAATCACATATCGGAAAGAAATTAGGAAAGCTTATATTATCATTAATCAGTCTTTTCATATAGCAGAGTATGATATTACAACTTAATTCAAAACGGCAAATTGACGTCATCACAAGAACGCAATTCTTCATAGAAGGCGCGCGGGAATGACGTCATTTACACAATCGCATCTTCTCGGCTTTTCCCCGTCAATCTTCTTCGTCTTTTCTATAACTGGGATGGGGTAATGAAACGGTTTATTATTTGACATCAGTATATTAGCATATATGGAAACAAGTTTTTTTGTAGGATTAGCTATCATGTATTTTTTAAAAGAAACGAAATGTTGTAAACAGTAGACTAGTAATAGTCCTACCTTTTTCCATCATGATTGCATGAAATGTTTAAACAGTCATGTTAAGAAGTAAAAGAAAAAAAAACGAAAAAAGAGCCTCTAAAACTTTTAAAAATTTTTGTACACCAAAGCAGTTTAGTTGATTGCAGACAAATTAAGTATTTCTGAATGCCATTTTGATACCATTTTAGACATTTTTTGTCAATAAAATATCCAAAATAGTATTATGAAATACTTTTTTCAGTAAAATACATAAACAAAACACTCATTATATTCAAGGTGGTTGAAATTAAAAACAATATTTCTTAAAATGCTCTGCAAAACACAAATTTATACTCATACAGCTTTTGCTTTTGACTCAATGTACTTAAAATAAGTTTATTTTTAACCTTTTTCGAATTGGCCGGTTCATTGAGAATGTTTTATTCAATTGAATTGTATTTTAGACCTTTGCACAACGTAACAAAAGGCTTTTTTATTATAATTTGCATGGTGGTTGGGAATAAATATGTCATTATGTGAATTAATTCTTAAATTGTGAATTGCATTGTCAGAAAAGGGCAAAATTGCATAAACCTGATCAATTAAATCTGAAATATCGCTGATCATATTACACGGCTTTTGTGGATAGAAAAAATTGTAGTGATTACGCGAATAGAGACAATAACGGCAGGGTTCGCCACAGTAATTCGACTAAACAACGGGAAAACTTATAATGATGTGATTATAGTATAATATGACATTTTACGCCCCAAGTGTCTGTGCCAAGTTATTTAAGTCTAATTACAATGGATATGTGTGTAATTCAATCTTTTTTCATGAATTTAACATTTGTTAATTTCTAAACAAATGGGAATAAATTCAACCTTTTTTTACCCTGAGTATACAATTTCAAATTGTTATATCTTTTGTGAATATTTCGACCGACCATTATACATCGTTGATTAGATCGTACGGAAAGAGTAGTTTTCGTAATCTAAATGTGAAAATAATGGCAGACATAGATTGTTTAAAAGTTTTAGATGACATAATTCTCAACACATTGTCTTTTCAAGCTATTTTAGGTTATTTATCAATACCTGAAAGGAGTTACAATTTGAATAGTAATCAAAGTTAAAGATTGATATAACCATACAATAGAAATGGTTATTCCCTTAAAAGCTGGTTGTTAAAAATTGTTTCTGAATTTAACATTCCAGACGAAGGAAAAAGCAACGTGCTTTGTTACGCATCTCATACAAGAAGCAGGGATATTGTAAAAGCTTTGATACAAGCTGGAACGGACATTAACGCACACACTGCAAAGAGGGAGACAGCACCATATTTCGCTTCCAAAAAAGGAAAAATCAAAATTGTTGAACTTCTGTTCAAAGACGATGCAAAAATAAACATACAAAACGAAAGCGGGCATTCTGCTCTTATTTTGGCAGATACTAATGAAAGTGGCTGTTGACAAGCATTAGTTAAAGCTGGTACAAGTGTTAATTTACAAGATAATGATGCATGAAGATGAAAATGGTCCTGAAGTTAAAGTTAAAAACTTGTCCTCATTTCCAAAAATTTTTCAGATGTCATTGAATTCTGATATTGAATTTCGGAAGGTACCGGGATGTGATAAGACTTTATGTGACAGATTTGGACGGACGATGATTATGGCACATTATAAAGATGTATATATAGGTTTAAGTTTACTTGTAGAGAAGTTTGATAAAACAACATTAGATAAATTCGATGATTTTGGAAGTAATTTATTGCATTATATAGCATGGGAAGAGACGACCGAGGACTTTTTCATCACATCCCGTGTATATTTAAAAATTGTGCCATTTTCAAAGCTAAGCGTTAGTAAAGACGCACATGGACAGCTCCCTTGTGATGTTGCCTTTTTAAGGGGACACAGTAATATTCTCAATCAGATCTGCGTTTGTAAAAACGGAATTCACCATCAAAACCTTGTTTTCTGTCACAGACGTTTTCGAATAACATCTGTCATAGAAAAAGACGAAGCGTTCAAAAACTTTATAAAAGATCTTTCCATACACTGCTCAGAAAGTAAAATACGAAACCTAATCAATGTACCCCTACTAGGACTGGTTAGATTTAACAAACATGAAAGTAAAGTTATACAAAATATGGATAGATTTGAAAAAGCGGCAAATGACCTTAAAACAGTTGTTGTAAATGTTGTTAACCATATATGTAAAAGACTTGGAGAAAAAGATGAATCACTTAAGAATACTGTTATTCTATCTGGCAGTGTTGCTGAAAATACAAAAGTTGGACTTCCAGATGAATTTGACTTCATATGCTTGCTGGATAAGAGTGCCATTACAGTGAAAGTTAAGGAAAGGCTCAAAAAAGGAGTACTTAAACGTTTCTTTGTTTTTAATAAACATCGTCTTTCGTTTATAATCGACAGGTTATATGATATTATCATTGAAGTATTAAAAGAGCCCGACATATATGCCCATACGAACTTAGTTCCCTTAAAGGAGTGTCCTGAAAGACCAACTAGATCTCCGAATTTCAAGATTAAATTTCAGTGGTGTTTTCGTGAGTATAAAAATATGACAATAAAAATAGACATTGTACCAGCTTTCGAAGTTTATTGTCCTTTTAATGTATGTTTTCACTCCGAAAGATTTAACCCTGCCATCAACCACAGCAAATTTGTTATGGTTTTGTTTACAGCAACAAATAAAGCAAAAGAGAGAATTTTGTGTTCAGTATCTGCTTCAAGAGAAGAAAGACATCGTCTAGCCACACTTCCTTCAGAAGCAAGAGACGCGTACGTGATATCAAAGATTTTATGCGGGAAACGCATGTGTCCGTCAGTTGTTGAATTTGAATTAGAACAAACTCGGGACGGGTATCCTATTAACGAAACTCAGTGTCAGAAGAATATTTCTAGTTATATGCTGAAAAACTGTTTATTCTATGTTGCTGAGGAATTTCAAACGAAGTCACTTTCAGTGTATGGTTACGTTTGTAAAATATTTCAGAAACTTCTTCAATTTGCAAGCGAAGAGAAATTTCCATGTTATATGTTTCCTTGCATTGATTTGTTTGTATACCATGATGGGGAGAGGCATGATGGAGCTTGTTTGACCAGAGCTATGTATGCAAAAATTATTTTAAACATTATTGGAGAACATTGTGATTTTGATGATATAGGCAAACCTGTCGGAGGTTTATACCACTACATTTGTGAAAACTGTGAGAACTGTGGGACAAGGCCAAAAGCGGATGGTGTAAATTTCAAAACGTGTCCCAGGTGTAAAAATGGTTCGTATTGTAGCGATGAATGTAAGGAAAACGACTTTGAACGACATAAAAAATGGTGTGATTCCCTTTACGAAGAAAATATCTCGGAAAAATCTTGGCTTTACACCCGTCTCGGACCAATTCAAAACATAACAGACAATGACATTTGTGCTAACTGTAAGAAAAGCCCAAAAGATGTTGGAGTTGTTCTCAAAACATGTTCCAGGTGTGAGCTCTGGACACATTGTAGCGATGACTGTAAGGAAAGTAACTTTGAGCGCCACAAACCTGCTTGTGATTACCACTATAAACAAAATGGTTCGAACTAATTTGACAATTATGTATACGCGTGTATTCGACGAAAGCGTGCTTAGTACAAGAACTGAACTGATTGTACAATCACAGAAGACTTTTAAAGTTAGTTATGTGTTTTATAACTTTCTTATATTGTTTATTCTTTAGTACATCTTTAGTTTATTGCAGTATTATAAAATGTTCTTCTGGGTTAATGAGCAAATTGCATTAAAACCAGGAGAATCCGTCTCCTGAAAATATAATGTGTTGTAAAAATGACAAGGGGACATTATTATATTCTCTGTAAGATTCTTACTGGTTATTGCTTGAAAGCGTGAGGTCGCATGCCATTTTGGTTTATTGTCGGTTTGTTTGTGTTTACGTCGCACTGACACATTATATGTCATATGGCGACTTCCCAGCTTTACTGTAGGAGGTTGCCCTCAGTTACTCTTCCGTGTATTATGTCAGGCACGAACGGGCACCAGAGTAAAGCCGTCGACGTTCCGTAAGCTATCTGGATAGCCGCCTCACATAAAAGAATCCAATGTTTCTGTCTGTATTCGAATCCACAGCGGTGAGGGGCAAGTGGTTTGAATTCAACAATCTTGAAATTTTGGTTTAATGAACCCAACCATTTAAAAGTCCTTTAAAAATAATTACATTACATATGTTATGCAATTACCAAATACATTTGTATCTCACATTTAGAAAACAATATTATCTAAGCGATCATATTAAATCAATTATTGTATTGTTTCTTTTTTTTTCAATAATTTTATAAAGATAATGATTTCATATAAATATAATCTGTGTAAAGGTAGTTTTAAAGGTAGTTTTAACCCAAGTACCTAATTTGTAAAGTATTTATGAAAAAGGTATGTTAAGTTCAATTGGATCAATTTCAAGTCCTGAAACTGAGACAGTGTCATGCGCTTTCAAAAAGCGGACGTATTTCTCATAATTATATTATGCTAAAAGTTATATTTGATTAACTAACATATCGTCAATTGTTATGATAAATATGGGAAAATTTGACACAAATTAAAGTCGTCTGTAGACGAACTAAATGAGAGTCGCTCGAGAAGCAGTGAATACATTTTATTTTGGAAGATATATGCATTCTAATTATAATTTCAAATTTAATATACGAATAATTGTAACCTGTACATCTATTTTAAATGTGACCCGTAATTCGGCTGGTTCTGACAGTCTGGAGGTACATGTACAAAGCCAGAGTAAATTACAGAAAATATTTGTCAATACATATAATTTTGGTGTTTATATTGTGTTATATGTTAGAAACAGACAGACACAAACCTGTTTATTTCATTTGAGCAGATACAAATATAGACATGTACAATATCATATAAAAATGAACATACCAACATCTGACTACACAATATTGTTCTCAATACACAATAACATTTTTACCTGTGTTTAATATAAGATAAATCATTCGAATATGAATTTTAAGATATAGATGAAATCTTCCCAGTTCTAACGCTGACGTATTTGTCGACTGTTTTAACATTTTAAGTAAACCTACAAAATAAAATATTTATGTACCCGTTTCTTAACATCTTCATTCATAAACACTCATACTTCACAGCCAGAATTTAAATTCATAAAACATAAGCGTAAAAAGATTAACCATTATACTAACTGGTAATTAGTTATCACACAAAAATGAAAATAATGAATATAAAGATCTGAGCCCTTGTAAGCTGAAGTTTTAATTGCTTAAATGAATGATCCGCCACTCGTGAATACCACAACTAAGAAGTTAAATGAATGTACTCCCTCAATTGCTTGATAAGTGATAAATTATCTGAGTCATGCACTTATCTCATTAACAAGATTCAAAGATTTATTCACCAAAAGCGGTACAATTATTTTCTGTCCCAGATGTTTAATGACAAGAAAACAAACACAAAAATTATTAGCTACATTTCGGAGCAATGAGAGAATCATAAAACAAAACATAAATATTATTATTTAGAAAAGAGTAAAAAAGATATATAAATAAAAGTATTTCGTTTTCATGTAGCTAAGTATATAAACATTTTTGGCAGTTTATTTATAATACATATTTGGCTAGATGTCATAATTTTTCTATACTTCGGCATACTAGGCCAAGAACAGAAATGATTAGGAAAAAATTACTCCTAAATAAATGAGGTGCCCATATATATTGTTTCTTGGATTTAGAATGAATAATTTGACTTATTGATTGATAACATTTTCTTAACTCAAAGATTACGTTAAACTTATTGGTATTTGTACAGAATTTTGCTTAAGTGTCAGACACACGATTTCGATTACTTTAAATTGACGTTATACAAAATCGAACGTATTCATATGGAGCAACTATATGGCGACGAGTTTATTCTTTATTGTTTTTAACATTTATAATGCATTTGATTTCTAACAAATTCTAAAATTAGAAAAAAAAACTTCATTAAAAGTTAAACCAAATATATTTTTGCAAGCAATAGCCATAAATGTTTTCTTTTCGTATTAGAAGGACATGTCCAAGTGTTCAGACTTTCAGTAAGTTTGAGAAGTTTCATACGTAAACCGACGCTTAAATTTCCTGAAGTAGGAGGGCCGTTATGGTGAGCGTACAAGCGCGGCGAGTGATCGCGGGTGTAGCCGCCACGAGTGCAGATTTGGTGGTAGTAGCATGGAGTCATGATGTTTTATTTGAGACATTTTTAACGTTGTCAATAAAGTATGATTATACTGTTTATGTACAAGATATATGGACATATCGTAACAATATACATATGTGCATGTTTTTCACAGATTAGGTCTTACAAACATAGCCGGACAATCGGCCCCTGCACTGTAACGACCGCAGCCATTCAACTTGTATCATTTAAGAACGGCCTCAAAACCTGTAATACCAATTTAACACGATCTGTTACTTTTAAAAAATGACCAAATCTGACGGTTGGCAATATACCCACTAGGAGAACAGCTCATCGAATGTTCCCAAAATATAACTTTGTTACTTTGTTAACCTAAAACATAAATCCAAAGGCCGATTTTTATTTTTAGCCCATTCACAGTACATTGTACATTGTATACTGATATCAAGACAAAGGTAACAATTACCATAAAAGGTGTCTATACCCAATCAGAGTTTCGCCTCGTAGTATTTTTTTAACGATACAGGATAGATTAAAAGTAAGAATGCATCATGCAGTATAATAATGTATCTATTTAACAAAAGTATTTTTTTTAATCTCTTTTATACTTTACGACTTCTGACCGCCGAATTTATGCAAAATTCTTTATTTACGCGAGGTATAGATCGATTGTGGCTATGCGGTAAAGGCAGAGTTACGCTACTGCTGTAATTTGAGAGATAATGCCTCAAATTTTTATCATTCTAGGCAATTTTAACTTAAAAACAAGAAAATCAAAACATATCAATACTTTAAACATTGTAAGTGATTTCGAGTCACTAGAGGATTCACCAGATTCAATATATCGTCATATAGGAACATATTGGGACTAAGAGTCAGATTTGGCGTGCCTAAACTCCCCAGTAGTGGTATATAGACTGTTTCTCTCTGTGTTCATTCACTTGTTTCAGATGTGTGCCTTGTATATGGTTTCATGATTTGAATGTTTGCACGTTTTGCGTCTTGTTAACTTATCATTGACGGCAAGTATGTTCTTTCTCTTCTCCCTCTTATCACATTTTGTGTCCTGCTCCCTCCTTTTTGCCCCTTTCACTCATTGTCCCTTTAAATCCAATATCGGCAGGTTACCAGAATAAATGTCTCACTGTCGGATTTTTTTGGGTCGCAACACCGTGTATAATACTAGTAACAATGGCTTCGCTTTGTGCGAAGCAAAAGTTAACTTTTCAGAGTCTTTGTTTAAATTGATTCAGCTGAAACAGGAAAATGTACTGAATGTACTGTTGTGTATTCCACTGGCATGTTCAACTGGTATTGCCTGTTTTATTAATTACACAAAATTGAAGGTAAGTTAGCATTTCTTATTGAGCATTTCAAAACTTCCTAGTATGATGAGTCTCGATAAAAACATGTCATCAAATTTCACTTCCACAAAAAGCAGTTGTTAAAGGTAGCTTTAATAGCACATACTTAATATCAGTGTCAACGTTGTTATTGTCTTCTGGTATTTTGGGATCATTTATTCCAATACTTTTAAGTGTTGAAAATGACAACTGTCAAGGGCATTGCACTTTACAATAGCTCTCTTGAACAGGCTTAATCAAACTGACTTTGTAATGTTTTAAGTTTTGTTTTCTTTGTTCTTGGAGATTATCCTATTCAAAAGTGGCACAGGTAGCACTATTACTCTGAAGTGTTGAAGACTGATTTTATTTCGGATTCCAACAATAAGGGTGACCCCAATTATTGTCCCCATTTAAATGATCAGTGTAGGTCGTGGAGCCATCCCATACTAACCTAACAAAATAACTTCTGTGTATACATATACAGCAGTTATAAATTGACAAGAATTCATGATTTCAATAGCATTGTGTAGTATCATACACTAATTGGTGTCCCATTTTTAGTAGTTTTTATCATCAATAGAAGACATAGGTGTTTAAGCAAGGAACTCCAACCATTATAATTATATGCTTATGCATTGCTTTGAATGAAGATTGGTTACTGCTCGGCGCTTCAGGGTCCCCACTCTTAAAAAATTCGTGTTTCTAAGCCTAACCTTGACAGATTACGTGATTTATAAAGCACATCATTAAAAGTACCACCCCACCACAGAAAAATGATAATAATAATTTAAATAAAAATAATAGTGAGAGTGACCTGCACATTGGACAATATTATTTAAGACTTTATTTCCTGCAAATAAGTAAAAGATCCTTTTTGATAAAATACAAACAGTAACCTGTGAGGTATCTCATAAAATGCACCAAGCTAGCCTTCTATCTCACCTAGCTGTTATTATTCATTAATATTGTTGCGCGCTAGGGGAAGGCCTGTCAGGGTGGCTTATTTAGTGCGCAAACTGAAGTAAAACCTAGGGGTTACGCAGGGCCTCTTGATGGCTTAAATTCTATTAAATACCTTGTTGGGATGGCTTGACATAAAGTAATACTCTTTTCCAGCTTATATACCTTGATTGGACGGCTCGACAAATAATAATACTCTTTTCCAGTTATTCAACACACAATAAACGCTTTATTAAACAGTTAATAAGTTTAATAAATAATAATTTCAGCACAGTTCATCATATAATTATCAGCAAATAATCATGTCACACATCAAACATATAGCATATATGTATCAGCTTTCAGAACTCTAGCAATTCACAAGTGTACTTAAATGTATCTCAAATCAAAACATAAGACTTATTATTAACTCAGCTTGTTTAGCTTAGACTAATAATCAAAGTAGTCTCATTTATAAAAGTCCCAAAAATATGCACATCTCAGAGCAGTAAATATAAGGCTTGGAACAGTTCTGGTAATTCTTAAAACGAGCTTTCTCTAAATAAAAGGTATTTCTAAACGTTTAAAATGTAGATCTGTATATAAAAATCCTCTAAAAATAGTTAATGTTGCTTACATTAATAGTGTAAAGAGCTTTTTCCATGTTAGCATCTGATGACAAGCAAAACAGGCTTAAGTTACAAGTTCCAAGCAGATTCTGACCAAGATTACCAAAAATCGGCCCTTTTATACTAAATCTAG